GAGAAATACATGCCATTAATATCTGTAAAATAAGAAACTTAGCCAATTTTTGTTTAAATGAAGGATTGCAGAATTGAGTACAACCTAGATTTAATTCAACCAAGTGTAATATTCTAGAACTTAATTTGTCCTCCATAACTCTAAGTACACTGCTCTGACACTTCTTGGCACTGGGTGTACAAGTTCATGACAAATTTTCACATCTGTGCTGTTTAACTCCTGGAGGACGACCTCCTTGAATGCTCTGGTCTTTAATGGGGAGTGTTGCTCAGCTCGTCTCTACAGAATCTCTCACAGCAGCTCAAGAGTGTTAAGATTGAGTGAAATACATGTCCACTGAAGGATTTTCACCTCAGGAGAATGAATATCTTCATTGTCATGCTGAAAAAATGCCCAATAATGCAGGGAATGAGGGGAGGGTAGCATCTTCTGTTTCAAGTTTTTGTATTACATCACACAGTGGTGTGTGAATTCATGACAGCGTTGATAAAGTACAACTCCCTCACACCTTCAGCACTCATTCATCCCTATAGAAGAGCTTTACTACCACTGAACGTCACTGTGGGTACCAGGCACTTCTCTCTGTACTCCTCCTCTAGCAACACCAGAACATTTTGGATGCTTTTGGATCCGAAATGATTGACTTGGTCTCTTGAGACCAGAGTATGGATTCCCAGAAGTCTCTATTTTGTAAATATGGGCCCTGGAAGAGGTTAAATGAGTTTATTGTGCTTTGGCTACAGTAGGTAATTCTAGTGGTGACAACCATGCATGTCACTTCTGCAGGCTGCGTCATACTCTGTGAGATAAAGTGTCACTCTTTTCATAGCTTTTGCCGGCTCTGAGACACTTTCACAGTGTTTCTCCTGCTCTTTTTCTAGCAAAAATTCACTCATCACTAAATGAAAACTTAAAGTGAAGACCTGATTATTTCAGGAGCCTTATCACAAGTCCATTGTTTTTGAATGTTGGTGCTACTTCTGCTATATTTTCACACTTAAAACAATAATTTGGTATTCCTCTTGTACCATTGTCCTCTTTTATGCTAAGAAATAAGTCACCTTGCAGTTCTCTCCCAAGTAGTTCCACTGCTGCCAGCATTAAGTCTGAGTATGATTCAGTGGGCTATATAACACTTTTAATTGTCAGGAAATTACTTGTCTTTAAAAGTTTTGGTTCAATATATTTACCTGTTGATCAAAAATAGCCTTAAACCTATACATTTTTGCAACACTAAATTTTATCACTTTTGGCATTCTTCTTTGGTAATTGATCAAGCAGGCTTGTTGGAACATTATATCTCCAAAGAACCCTAACATGTCTTCTAAGTAAAGTGTAATTGCTGAATTTGTTAAGTTTTAGAGGGGGTGTACTCATTTATGATGTGCACTGTATGTCAATCAATATTTCTTGAACCAGAATAGTCAATGGATTTTACATGATCAATTTCCACCCTATTTGTTACTTTACCATTGAGTTTATGCAGATGACCTCTGTTATGATTGGCTAAATCATTGCTTTATGGGTTGCATTTTTACTGTAGCGGTCAATATTGTTGCTGCTTTCCCATTTAAAAAAAAAAAAAAAAAAAAGCCTTAAGTGCATGGACCCTTCTTCAAAACTGTGATTGATTACACATTTCCGGAGTTAATAGCATGGTAAATTTAGTTAAGTTTTTGTTTGAATTTTCTTTTTTAAATGTACCTGTATTCATAACACTATAGACTGTTTCATCGGGCGCACGCGCCTGGTCCGAAGTTAACTTCCGGTATGTGTTTGTTTATCAGTCTGGCTATGGCGCCGGCTACAAACGCAGTTAAAGTTAAGGTGAATAGACTGAAGTTGGGCTCAGGTGGTTGTGCTGTGGGATGTGTTTCCCATACATTTATTTATTTGTGGCGCTCGCCACAATATCAAAACTGACGGATTTTCCAAAAGGCTTCGTTGAATAAACATGAGCACGTACTGCAAGTTGAACCAGACCGAGCTGGCGGTGCTGCTGAACCTGCTGCAGGGCCAAACAGACAATCTAAGCATCCCGCAGATGGCTGAGTATCTCCGCAGCTCGTCCTCTGAAGCCTCCACGTCAGTGCTCTCCAGAACGCCCGCCGCCCCCTCCACCCCTGAACCGGACGCCGCACAGCAGCTCGAACTGCTTAGTCAGCTCTCCACCTTAATCCAGTCCTCTAACGTCCCGCAGCCGGCAGAGATCCCGCAGGAAGACCAGGCTGGTCTGCTTACGCTCCTGTTGGAGCAGCTGATAAAGGGCCCGGCGCCGGGGGCGGAGCGGGCAGACGAGAGCAACGGAGTCCGGCCGGACGAGGGCGCTGCGCGAGGCGGCTCCGCTTCCGTCATGGACGGCGATCGCGAGGGCAAGTGTTAGTTAAGTCTATGGGGGGCGGGGCCTGAGTTGTCGAATGCTGTGATTGGCCACAGCTAAACAGGTTACACTGCAGGCTCGAAATGTGAGACCCACCCACTTTTCTTGCAGAGATGTCACTTTTTTTTGTTGTTGTTGTTGTTTTCTTCCTAAAATCTTACAGAGGGGGGGAACGTTTAATTGGTTGAAAGACTGCAGGCTAACGAATAGAGAAATAAATTGTCATGTTCATTTGAAAATCCAGATGTTTATTTTCTGCTTTTCGTGAACTTCCATTGAGTTTTACAGTCTTGCAGTATTTAGTTTTTACTTTCATGGGAACAAAATCCACAGAACCCCGTCTGCTCGCACACTGCGTCGGTGCCCAGCGGACTTTTGTGTGCAGAAATCTGCTCACAGACAGGACGTGGGAGCTCTTCATCTATTGGCACACACTGCAAGTCCTTGAGAGATGGTTACAGTGTTTGCGTTTAATTGTTACTCTTTTAAATCCAGATTAAACAGTCCTAATAAAGAGCCATTTTGGACACATCTTTATTTATGTGTCTCTCTTCTAGTACACTCAGAAAACAACACTTCACTGGAGTACGCTAGGTAACGTTTCCAACCGCTGTCTTGCTCGCATAATTTAGTTCTTTCTTACTGAATTGGTTTAGCATAGTTGGGTGAATCTTAAAATCCTGTCAAGAATATCCTGTCAAGATCATAATTGACAATGAACATTTTTATTTTGCTTTTGTAGTAGTACCATGATTTTTTTTGGTGACCTTATTTTCATGAAAATTAAGGACATTTCACTTCATTTTCATTATTGTAATGAGAAAATTAATCCTTATTACTAAAATGCTATATATATATATATATATATATATATATGAA